AAAATTTTCCCCCCCCCCCCCCCCCCCAAGTTTCATTAGCAATTGGGAAGTAGCTCTCTGAGTAGCCTTTATTAAAGGAAATTGACGGAAACGCGAAGATAAGGCTAAATGTGAAGTTTGTTTTATGTTTGAAAATCCGTCTACGCTCAAAGCAACATTCTTGAATGTGTATAAGGGCCTAAGGGTCTTCAGTAAGTTGCTCCTTGCATTTGTATGTGTCTAAGGTATTAAATGGATTTGGGCCCACTGTGTTCTCGAACACGAAAGAGCGTCTATAACATTTCTCAGCCCCATTTTAAGAACGCATTAAAATTACGTTCCCTCTTAGTTTACTCTTTAAATAAAGTTTAAAGGCGGTTTTTTTCTTAAGAAAACTTATTTCTGTTTTATAGTAGGAAGAGTAAAAAGCAACCCCAGTTTTCAACTGCTAAACGGCTTCATTTCAATTTCTCGGATATTTCTTGCTATACGTGCTATGCAAAGTCCTTTTTTTCAGTGAAAATGTACTTTTAATGAAAGCGAATTTAATTTAATTTTAGTGTTCACGAGCAGACATTAGCACAAATCTGCAAAAGAAACTAGAGGATCAACCAGCCGCCCACATCAGCAATCCGAAAACCCTCGACTTCCAGGTATATTGTGCTTCTACTTAAAATCGCTTGCAAGTTTTTAGGTACATTGAAAAGCTTAATTCTATTTACTTTTGAAGGTTGTACGTACATCCTTATTGCCCGGTCTTCTATCAACACTTTCCAGCAACCGAAGTCTTCCATTGCCTTTGAAACTCTTCGAAGTTCAAGATGTGGTTCTTAAGGATGCCAGCAAAGGTATATTCAAATAACACTGCCAATATTGTTCTTATTCAATAGATGTTGGTTGTCGTAACAGCCGACGCATTTGCGCTATCTACTGCAATAAGACATCCGGTTTCGAATTCACCCACGGTCTACTTGATCGCCTAATGCATGTTCTTGAAGTTGGCTATGAGAAAAAGCGGAAGCCTAATGGCTTTGCCTACAAACTTGAAGAGTCTGACGGTATACATTGAACAAGATAATATCTACTCCTTTGTTTTCAGTAGTAACTATACAATCTTTTTGCTTTGCTTCCAGATTCAACTTTCTTCCCCGGACGCTGTGCCGACGTCATTCTACTTCCTGAGGGACGATCAATTGGACATTTGGGAATTGTGCATCCCAATGTCCTGCGGAACTTCGATATCTCATTCGCTGTGTCAGCCCTCGAGATTGATATTGAACCATTCCTCTAATTCCTCACCTTCCTGCCGTTAGGATCTTTAATTCCACTTACCCTGGCCTAGTCTTTGCTATCATTGTCTATGGAGGGAAAAAATAAACGCGGCTCTGGCATCTTGGATGGAGTTGTCTTTGAGGCACTTTTAAATTCAATTCGCTAGACATGCAAAAATATCGACTTATCTCTGTTTAGTGATATACACTATGAATGGGCAATTTCTCATCTCACATTACTAGAACTAGGGAAGAAATGGAAAATCATTAATGGAGAGTCAATGTTGACGTCCATGACGCAGAAAGTAGAACTAGACATTCACTTTAAAAAAATGAATTAGTGTCAGGGATATTGGGATTAAGTCGTAAGTTTCCTCAATACATGTGAGTGGGTAGATATAAACTACCTTCTCAGTTCACCGGCAATTGGGACTTGCTTTTTTTCAAATATGCAAGTGGCATCAGATTTCCTTTTGATTAGGGCATTTCCAATTAAGTGGAATTCACAATAACCAACATTTTCGTAAGTAGAGAAGAGGATTTCAGCAAAGTAGCAGCACAGTATTTTATATCAATCTAGTTGTGTCTAGCTATACACGATTGGTTTTTTAAAAAAAGGCGCATTGGAGAAGCTTTTATCCGTTCAACGAACACGACTCAAGGAGGGATTCTGAGCTCGAGACAGGACCACTCGAGCAGTCTCCTCGCTAGCAACGATGTCCTCGCACAGACCCTGTGCCAGTCGCCTCATATCCTCTTTTTCTTCCTCACCCAGAAGTTGGGATAACATCTCCTGAGGTCTGCGTTCACCTCCGTGTCGAAGCAAGGCATCGCGATATTTCTAAAAAGGAGACCGCGATTAACTAATAGCACACACTTCAATGACTAACTACACAGTATTCTTTATTACTCCCCAATACAAATACTACACAAGCCAACAAGTACTATTACTATTAAGGCTATTTCTCAATCAACCAATAAACAAACCACGTACCTCATCAAGGCAATAAATAAAACTCATAAAGACAATTTGAACCACTCACTCTGCCAAAGCTGGAAGACCACGGATCTGCCGCAAACCCCTTCCTCCAAGTCAGACCTGCAGCAGCGCGAGCCATTAAATACGAATAGTACCTCCCTCCATAACTGTACAAATGCCCAAAACGATGTGTTGTCGCCACAGGCAAGTGAGCCAATTGTTGAGGTAATTCCACTGACAACCAAGAACCGCAGTGCTCCTTCAAAAGACTGTTAAATAATCTCGCGGAAGGTGGTCCATTCATTCCAGTCTGGAAGGGAGCAAGAATTTTTGCAGGTGCATCGCTGTGAAGACGCTGATCGAGCATAGAGTACATCAATTGGAGCATAACTTCCACACTCTGGCCATAGCCTCGACTGGCGTTGAGATGAAGAAGAGCTTTCACGTCTTCTGCGGAATTTGGAGCTTCTCCTGTCTCAAAGTGACGCGCGTATTGAGCTGTAACACGAGTGTCCAGAGCGAAATGTTCCATTAGAGTGGAGGGAAGTTCTGCTAGATCTGTACTGCACCTGAAATTAACCAGTATCAAATAAGGTTAACGTTGGCATTACAGATATGAGTTGGAGAGAGAACGAAGGGGGAAGTTAGATGTGATCAACTCTGGTATTTATCCAGGAGGTTGAAAAGTAAGTGCCACCTCCCATTCAATTAGACAACTTAGGGAGTTGAAATTGTACCATAAATAGAGGAAAAGCCGTCAGCAACTGGAAGACAATTGCCAAGGATGAAGATTTCCATTCTGCTTCCTCCTCACTGATTAACTTAATAGACAAATCAATGGAGACAATGAATAATGCAAACTAAGAAGATACAAAGTGGAAGTATCTACCTGGTGCCAGTGACGTGCTGATATCTCGTTCGACCCAGAACCGAGTGTAAAGCGTGACCCCACTCGTGAAAAAGATTTTCCACTTGACCCGGAGTAAGCAGAGTGGGAGCACCCTCATTGTTTTCCGAGGGACACGGGCCAAGATTTAGCTGGATTACCACGATGGGGAATTGGTAAGGTGAGTGGGATTCGAACATGGTATTCTCTGTGTGGCGACCGCCCCTTACTGTGTAGTGGCAATCCTAGAAAAGGACGCCATAAGAGATTAGGAAAAATTTGAATTATAAAATGCTGACTAATTGTCGTGGTCAAAACGATACCCGAAAATAAAATCTTTCCAAGCTCATTGGGTGTATTAAGAGCTATGCCACTTAAAAGATTTCTCATTTGTCATAGTTCCATTTGCTAAGTATTGTTGACAGACAAAAATACAATTTTACTCGATCTACAGCCTTGCGCTTACGATATCATACATACAGAAGATTGAAAGTCTATTGAAAATGAAGATTTCGCACTGAAAAATGAACATTTCTCAAGCGCTAGAGTTTTGATCGATGCCTCCGACTACAGTGTTTCCAGTTTGATCAATTAAAAAGAAATTGGATATCACTCACTGCCCCCGGCTAAAAAGAGAAGCCTACTAACCTAACTCCTCCATAAAATCTAAATTGAAGCCTGCATAGCATTACCGCCATACACACACTTACCATAGGCAACTTTCCAGGTCGAGTGAAGAAGTCACAGTAGATAGTGCCTATTTTGACCCCAGGACCAATAGGATAGCGAGCCTCCCAGGGGTGCACCGAATTGCTCCCTTCTGCTACCTGGGGTTCTTCGGCGTAAACGGTGACCTTGACAACATCGGAATGCCAGACTTCACCGGGTAGAGCAGGTTCAACTTCCAAACGAAGACCAAAGAGGCTTGATGCAAGTTGACATACACCTTCCATGCAGACTCCTAATGAGAAGAAACCACGAAGGCGCTGAAAGGGAAGTTGGGTTTAAGGAAAATGTTTCATTGATACCAATAGAAAGCTTTACTATGACTCTAACGAAAAGCATAATTTCAAAAGAAATTTAGAGGCTTGTAGTACACGCACATAGTGAGCTCTGCTTTATATGCATATGGATTTCATCTGTCATTTTATGCAAAAAATCAAAGTTCTTTGAATCTAACAAGAATTTTATAAATATTATCCCTCCAATAAGTTGGAATTCTTTTTGCTATTAATTCTATCTAAGAATCCGTTGATATATCCGAAGAAAATGAATTTCTGGAAGCAGAAGTCGAACGTAGATTTCCAGAGCATTCGCTAGACGCTTTAATGCATTAACTTGTAGCTAGTAACTGGGAAAATAGCTAAAGGAAATTTGCAAAAAAAGAGGAACAAATATGCTATAATAACTTCTCAATTACGGGGTGTGCGATAGACTTACCTCCTCGTGGTGCACCCTGGGCAACGTATACTCATACGGCAAAAAAGTCTATTAATCGGCAGTTGACTTCTGACTTCAAACTACCGTGACCCCACTCTATGTCATGTTCGACTACTTCCACAGTACTCACCTCACCTTTTTCTACCTTTGTGTCTGCCTATTTTACATCTTTGAAACACTCTTCTGTCTTTTTCACCTTGATGTTCCTTGCTCTCTGTGAGACCTGAAGTCAACCAAAGGGCTAATGATAGTTATTATTAAAACGCCTGCCATTTGATATAAATAAATAAATACTTCTCAATTACTTCAAATCCGCTCAAACTTTGCCCTTGATGAATGAGGAAGGGAACATCCCACGGAGAAACAAACTCTAGTTTAGAATCCAACCAAGACAATAACTGAGAACGAGTAGTCTCCTCAGCACTTGGTGACAACAATGTTGATAAAGTTGTCAAAAATACTTCAACACCCTCTGGAGATTCAGCAAGACTTGATGGTTGAATAGCCCGATAGAGGAATGACTTCTTTCCGGCGGATCTAAAAAGTGGTTTATCCGAATTTCCAATC